CCTCCTGTGGCTCCTGATTTTCCCAGTGTCTCCATCCAAGTACAAACCAGGCCCAGCCCTGCTGAGCTTCTGAGATCTGACAGGATCAGACTTGGACAAGGAGGTGTGGCCACGATAAAACACAGAGCCTGATACACTCAGAGAATAGAGTTTAAAGCAGCTCTGCTTGTCCAAGTCTCTCCATGACCGAGCACCAAAGTCCATCTGTGACATGTTAGTGCCACATGAACCATCTGCACTCTGAGGAGCTCAGGGACTGACCTCCTCCTGGTGCCCAGAGTCACGACTAAACACGAGGAGTCAGTTTCAGGTTCATGCAGCTAAAACCTGGAACAGTCTGAACATGTGAGACAGACTCTTCTGTGACTCTGTTTAAATCCAGACTCAAAACTGTTCTGTTTAGCTGCACCTGACTGAAAAGTTTTTTATTCTTCACTCTTCTCTCTCATTTAATGTCTCTCTCTCTCTCTTTTTAATGTTAGGATGATTATTTGTGTATTGATTTGTTTATATTGTGATTTTAATGCATTTCTGAAGCACATTGAATTATTTTGTGTACAAATTGCTCTGTACAGATAAACTTGTTTTGCCTTATGTACCACTGAGAAAAACATTAGCTGTGTAAAACTATGTTCAAATCAATGAAAATAACCATAAGTAAATAAAGTATCTAAGACCCAAATACAAAAGATCAACCCTGAAACCAAACACCTCATGAAATATTCAGATATAAGATCAGCCTCTTCCTGTCACACACAGTCTGTCACACAGAGTCTGTCACACACACAGTCTGTCACACCACACTCTGTCACACACACAGTCTGTCACACACAGTCTGTCACACTGGTTACACACCTCTGTCACACACACTCTGTCACACACACACACAGTCTGTCACACACAGTCTGTCACACACAGTCTGTCATTAACACACACTCTGTCACACACTCACTCTGTCACACACAGTCTGTCACACACAGTCTGTCACACACCTGTCACACACACTGTCACACACACTCTGTCACAACACCACACGTCTGTCACACACACTGTACACACAGTCTGTCACAACACACTGTCACACACACGTCACACACACTCTGTCACACACAACACACAGTCTGTCACACACACTCTGTCACACACAGTCTGTCACACAGAGTCTGTCACACACACTCTGTCACACAGAGTCTGTCACACAGAGTCTGTCACACAGAGTCTGTCACACACACTCTGTCACACAGAGTCTGTCACACAGAGTCTGTCACACAGAGTCTGTCACACACACTCTGTCACACACAGTCTGTCACACACACTCTGTCACACACAGTCTGTCACACACAGTCTGTCACACACACTCTGTCACACACAGTCTGTCACACACAGTCTGTCACACAGAGTCTGTCACACACAGTCTGTCACACAGAGTCTGTCACACACACTTTGTCACACAGAGTCTGTCACACAGAGTCTGTCACACACAGTCTGTCACACAGAGTCTGTCACACGGGGCTTGAACAAAGTGTCTGAGACACACTGATTACAAAAATACAAATCCTTTATTCTTACTAGGACACCAGTGTGTTTGGATCTGTGAGGTCTGATCATATAAATCTAAAACCACATGCATTAATCCAAATAAAAATGAACTGTTCACCTGATGTCTGACACTTCTCACGTGTAGTTTCTGATTCTCAGGGGAAACTTTTGTCCAGACACATGGACACACGACACAGTGAGTAAAAGCACAAACATTAGGGCGCATCATTTGCCCCAGTGTCAGAAATTCAGCTTGTACCCAGTTTTAAAATGTGACAAAACCAATTAAAAGAAAATCTGGGTCCACCGAGACTCTTAAGTTCCAATATAACAGCGTCCATAAGGGTCTGGCAGAAAAATCTGTTTTTCTCAAATAACTTTAAAATAACAATTTTGAATATAATATTTAATTTTATTATACATTATTATTATTATTATTATTATTATTATTATTATTATTTATTTTTTTATTTTTTTTTTTTGATGTTATAAAAGAAAAAAAAAATCAGTTCAGATTTAAGTCTTCTGCACTAAACCTCAGAGTCTTGGTGGAAACAGTAAACATCAATAGAATTTCATGAAATTTCTCATGGAATTTTACTTTGGCAAGTGTAAACAACTGGTACTAGGTACAGATTGATTGATGTTCTAAGTGCTCCGAGTTATTAAAGTGCAA